CAGAAGAAAGACAACAATGAAAATGAAAGCAGAGTCAAAGAAGGGAAAAACGGGAGCAAGGTTCAGGAGCAAGAGGGAGGCGGGAATTAAAACTGAAAGTTGGTTTTGTGAAAAGAAATTGAAACAAAATCAACACTGAAGTATGTCCTTAAGGAATCTTGGAGCAGGAGTCCCAAGGAGGAAATTTGCATTTTAAACTAAGCTGAACAGAACAGAGTGGGGGTTCTTAGAATCTGAGTGGTAAGAAGAACATGGATTTATGGTATTCCCAAACCAGTGAAGTGGACATACCTGGGAGAATTTACTGATTGACTTTATGTAAAAGGAATCATGGTAGACATTTCGCTTCTCACATTCCTTTTTTCCTCTGTGATATTTTCTAGATACTCTCCATGATGTGAATGAACATAAGTGTATGTGTATCAGCACTGTTTAATTATCTGCATAATATTCCATTATGTGCACAACCGCTATAAACTGCCCCATAAAAATCAGCATATAAAGAGAGTTACAACGGTTTTAAAAACACAGATGGTGGGAACTTGTATTTATGGGTGAACAGATGATTCAACATCTCTCCGTTTGGGTGTTGTCTTCTCAAACTGGAGGTCTGAGGTCTCTCGTGGTCTAACAGGAAGCTGCCTGACTCTCCACTTCCGGCAGCGAGCACGCTGCTGACATGGGGCTTCCCTTTGTCCTCCCTATTTGTTTCACTGATTTCTTGCATCATGATCTGACTGCTCTGTCCTAATTTTTAAATTCTATAAGATTAACAGATTATGAAGTAATCCTGAACACACATATCCGGTAGGGTTTAGCAATACTGATCCTCCTAATCCAGAAGTTCTAACATAGATGTGTGAACTCCGGGTTGCTCTCAGATTCTGCAATGACAGGAAGCAACGTTGATGAGTGCTGTGTTGGGGGGTTCCCTCCAGCTGAAGTTGAACTTCACTTCAGTTATACTACTTTATTCTTTTTTTAATTAATTAATTAATTAGATGTATTGGAAAGCCAGATATACAGAGAGGAGGAGAAATAGAGAGGAAGATCTTCCATCCGATGATTCACTCCACAAGCGGCTGCAATGGCTGGAACTGAGCCAATCCAAAGCCAGGAGCCAGGAGTCTTTTCTGATTCTCCCATGTGGGTGCAGGGTCCCAAAGTCTTGGGCTGTCCTCAACTGCTTTCCCAAGCAACAAGCAGGGAGCTGGATGGGGAGTGGGGCTGCCTGGATTAGAACTGGCACCCATATGAGATCCCAGTGCGTTTGAGGCAAGGAGTTGAACTGCTATGCTATCGCGCTGGGCCCTATACTACTTTATTCTTGCCAGTGTCCTCTTCCTAGAGACCTGGTCCCCGTTTCTGTGTGTTGGCTGTTGCCTGGATGATGGGGACCGGTCCTCAAAAGTGTTCACTTTCAAGTCCTATTTGGATTATGGCTGAGCTTATCATATGCAAGGCCTTATGGCCTTGCAGTCTCCATCTTTCAGACCAACAAATCCTGAGAGATGATTGAAAAGGTTCTTGGTAGAGAATACTAAACAACAGGGTCTGTTCAGGGCCAAAACTGAGAAAGAATGTTCCAGAACTCACACTGTCTGAGGAAACAACGTGCTATACTAATAGAACAGTCCTGATAATTTGCTATCATATCCATCTACCTCAAGCCTATGCCTGCTGAATCCCATTCTCTTTGCTGGGATTAGTTACAGGGGTGGATCAATATTAGCAATGAGACAAGAGGAGATCTCTTCTAGGAAGCTTTGGGAAAATATTTACTCATTCCAAAACAAAGATTGAAAGAGAGAAGGTCTTCTCTTCTTTTAGATATTGTCATATTTAAACAGATGGCTTGGAATCATTTTAGCCTCTTCATGACAAAGGTAATCCACTTTGCAGAAAACAGCCAAGATACTTGCAGACGGGTCTACCCGAACCAACAAGTGCTGCCTCCTCATATTTTCCTGTCTCCTGTCTTTGTAAGTGGAAAAAACATGCTTCCTTAGTATTAAAGACTGAGTGAATGTTTTCATTACTTATAGTCAAAAACCTGTTTGGATCTTTGTTTCAGAGAAGTTATTCATCCTCTTTGATCCTTCGTCCCTTCATCTGAAGTAATCCCTCTAACCTTGTTTTTTGACGTTTAAATGGTATGTTTTGTGTGAAATCCATTGTCACGAGACAACATATCATTGCTGGATTAAAGATGCTGGTCTTTTGCCTGGTTTGTAATCTGTCCACACAGTGGATGACTTAGTTGGTGTGGACTCTGTTTCATCTTCTCTGGGGAAATGAATCCTTTTAGTAAGCTGAAGACCTTGGAACTAACTTAAGTCTTCATTCCACATATTGCTGGGTGATGTAGGATGATGAGGAAAGTGAGTTTAAGAATTACACAGCCTCAATTAAAATAATAGCTGCCCATTAATATGATCTTGGTTAAATTGCTTAATTTCTCAAATTCTCAGCATTTCCATTGATGTTGTATATATGAGGATACTTCAAAACACTGGAAGAAAATGAATTTAAAGATAAGTTCATGTTGGTACAGAAATTTTGAAATCCACACACGGCTTTTTCCAAAAGCTTTTTGAAGATCTTTTGTATATAGCAGCACTTTCTTCAAAAGGTTATTTTTGCATTCAAATGAACTGATCAATATTAAGGTTTTTAAGCCGCCGACATGGTTCATATTATTAAAATTGCTGTTACTATTTGCTCACAGTAACATAATAATTTATTGATCTATTTTATTCATATTTAAAGTCTTTCTGTACATTTTCTGTAAAATGTACTAATTTTGAAATACACCTGAACTCTATTTTTCACTTGTTATTTTTATCATGTATCATTTTAGTTCCTTTCCCCTCAAATTCCTAATTTTTATGCTTGAGATATATGAATGCACTTGCTTATCAAAAGATAGATGATTAAATTCAGAGCAATATAGAGTCAATGGCTGACTGAGCAAACTCTAGACACACTACAAATACCCAGCATGCTGTGCGTGACCAAAAGGAAAGTGGGGACTGGAAGGATAACAGTGTTATTGCTTAACACGTGGGGTTCTCCTGAACACTTCTACTAAGCTAAATTTCACTTTCAATAGCTTCCATGAGAGAAAAGAACTAAGGTCATGAACTAACACTACTTCAGGATTTTACTTTCCTCCTTTTCCTTTTCTTTTATTTAATTTCAGGTCTGACTTCAGGTCTGTTGTCAGTTTAGTTAATTGTGAATCACGAGATGGTTTCTTTTAATGTTTGTTTGCTTTGTCCTTACACAGAATTAGTTCTCAAGAACTAGATAGACCATTTGGACTATGTGGATCCTTAGGACTTGTGAGGACTGTGAGTTTTCCAGCCCAATTCTTTCATTTACGTTAGAAAAAAACCAAAAACAAAAACAAAACATTGTGTTTCTGAGTGTGTACTGATCCTAAAGCTGTTTAGAGGTAGAACAGGAGCACCGACCCCGTGAGACCACTCTAGTCAGTGCTCTTCATGTTTACTTGACAAACTGGGTTAGTAAGATTGCTGAAGAAATTCTTATTTAATCTCATCTCTAGGTTAGAAGCTGAGTCAAATGCATTTCTATTATCTCATTTCATTCTTGTAACTACCTTGTGAAAGACTGAGAGAGGTATTGTGCAACTTCAACTTGGGTTACAAAGACTAAAACTTGGATATTTAGGCAGCTGGCACAGCCATGTTAATCCTCTGTTTGTGGCTCCAGTTTGTGAACCAACTGCTACCTTCCCATCCAACTGCCTGCTAGGGCCTGGGAAAGCAGTGGAGGATGGCCCAGAGTCTTGGGACCCTACACCCATGTAGGAGACCTGAAGGAAGTTCCTGGCTCCTTTGGATTGGCGCAGCACTGGCCATTGCAGTCACTTGAGGAATGAATCATCGGATGGAAGATCTTCCTCTCTGTCTCTCCTCCTCTCTGTATATCTGACTTTCTGATAAAAATAAAATAAATCTTAAAAAAAAAAAAGTTAAAAGCTGGTGGAAGATGTTCTCTCTCTCTCTGCCACCCTCAGTAATTCTAACTTTCAAGTAAAATACGTAAATCTTATTTAAAAAAACTTAGAAATTTAAATAATATCATCAGCTTTCAGGTTTGGTTTTCTAAAGTAAAAAATGTTTTGCTCAGTCTATCCCTACTTGAATTCATGCAAAGCTTTCATATTCTTGATATAAATCTCTGTTCAACCAAACAATACTCAGCCATTTTTATTATGAACATTAAAGTGGTTAAAACATCTTCCTTGAGAATTGGTGCCACTTGTTCTTTTTGTGTCTACCCCAGAAGCACAAGCATCTCCGTAGAGCCTTTCAGTGATGAAGAGTTTTGGACTCTACCCTAGGTCTCTAGAAATAGGATCTTTTTATTTTTCTAAAGATGTGTTTATTTTTATTGGAAAGTCAGATTTACAGATAGAAGGAGAGACAGAGAGAAAGATCTTTCAATGGTTCACTCCCCAAGTGGCAGCAATGGCCGGAGCTGAGCAAATCCAAAGCCATTATCCAGAAACTTTTCTGAGTTTTGCACATAGGTATAGGATCCCAAGGCTTCGGGCCATTCTCGACTGCTTTCCCAGGCTACAGGTAGGGAGCTGGAAGGAATGTGGAGCAGCCAGGATTTGAACTGGACCCATAAATGATACTGGTGCTTTCAAGGTGAGGACTCTAGCCACTAGACTACTGTACCAGGCCATAGAAAAAGGATCTATAGGGAAAATCAAGATGGTAGAACAGGTTAAGGACAGCTTAAACAGAGGGAGAAACAATGGACAGTGTGAAGCAGAGAGGGCACATTCCAGGAAAAAGGAGAAGACAGAATGAAAGCAGGGGGGCATCTGAAGACTGATGGACAGAGGAAAGCAGCAGACACAGCGGTGTGATGTTGCAGTCACTGATACCTCAGCAGCATTCAGTGAGCAGTGATCTGAACTGCACCAGAAGCCAGAACTCCACCAGCAATAAGGTGGGAAGGGGTGTTCACAAGGAGCTCAGGAGGGTAAACCCAGACAAAGAACTGATTGTAATGCTGGTCTGTTTGATTTGACCTGGAGCAGAGACAGAGCAGCAGATTCCACGGTGCAGGACAGGGTGGAATTCACAGCCTAGTCTGCCCTCTAGTGCCGAATCAGGTTCCATTTTTTGTAGGGAGGCAAAGGCTATGGACAGAACCATGCATGCACTGAGCTGGGAGTTAACCATTTCTGGCTCAGTGAACTGCAACAACGTGGCATACTATAAGCTCCACCCAAGACAGGCCCAAGTAACCCTCAGACCTGACAGCCAGCAGATTAAGAACTCTAGCAGTGGCACATCAGGCACCATGTTGTAGAGTGTGAAAAGACTTTAAGACTGTAGGGACAACAGTGAGCTGTGCAAGTGTTGACCTTGGCAAGAACTCACTGAGCTCAGTGCATTGCACTGATCACACAGGGAAAATATTCTCAACTTTGTCATTATATGGACCAAAATAGGTCCATGTTACCCTTAGACCTAACAGTCAATAGATTCTTGTAAGGTCAGCACTACCAACAAACTAGTTATATAGGACTTCTGGTGTTTTCCTAATCCTGGGGACTGCTTGAACCGGAAGTGGGAGAAAGATTGTACAGATAACAGCACAGCCTCAGCACAGTATTACAGGAGGTGGAGAGTGGTGAGAAGGAGCTGGGGATACGGAAACCACAGTCGAAGTCTAACATAAGAACCTAGAACTGGAACTCGCTAGAGAAAGTGGCACAAGTGACTGCAAACAGAGAACTGTGTACCAACCACAATAAATAAAATTGAACTGTAGATCGGTGGGTGAAACCTGCCCCAAGGAGAAGACTCTGCTAACCAGAAGTGCAATGACCAAGAGCAAAAGAAGAGACAAAGGCACAGTGAATATCACTGAAGACTCCCATGCAAAAGAGCAAAACCCTACACCAATCTCAGAATTCACTGAAAAAGACATCAAAGAAATGGGGCATACATAATTCAAAACACTTGTTATAAATCTTCTTATCAACAATGAAAAGCATGTAATATAGGAGTTTAAGGAACATGTCATGCAGGTAATGAATCAAATGAAAGATATATATCAGAAATGAAGAATACAGTGGAGAAAATGAAAAGTACAGTGGAGAATCTCCAAAATAAAATGAAGGAAGCAGAAGAAAGACTCTCAGAACTGGAAGATATTTCTTGTCACCAAGAGGAAACAAACAAAAAGCTGGAAGCCAAGCTGAGTCAAGATAGAAAAAAATGTATTCAAGAATTGAGACACTATTAAAAGGCCAAATGTATGAGTTATGGGAGTCCCAGAAGGTATACAAAGACAAACTGGGATTAAAGGTGCATTCAATGAAATATTAAGGGGAAATTTCCCTAATCTAGAAAAATAATTGGGAAACTATATCCAGGAGGGGCTAGAACTCCCAACAGGGTTGACCAAAAGTGATCTTCACCATGACACATGATCATCAAGCTCTCTTCATTCGAACATAAGGAAAAGATCCTCAAATGTGCACATGAAACAAATCAATTGACATATAAAAGAATGCCAATTAAACTCACAGGAAACTCTACAAGCCAGAAAAGAGTGGAACAACATACTCCAGATTCTAAAAGCAAAAAAAAAAAAAGTCAGCCCAGGATAACATATCCAGCAAAGCTTTCCTTTGTCTTTGAAAATGAAATGAAATTCTTCCACAGTAAGAAAAAGTTAGAAGAATACACGTCTTCCAAACCTGCCTTACAAAGGACACTTAAAGATGTTCTCTTCACAGAGAAGAGGAATAGCACCCACTAATACCAAAGGAAAATGCAAAGAACATTCCAGCAAAATAATAACAGAAAACTAAATCAATGAACAAACCGTTGCTAAAATGACAGGACCAAATTACCAACCATTCATATTAAGCCAGAATGTAAATGGCCTAAACTCATCAATCAAGCATTGTAGATTAATATAGTGGGTAAAAAAAAAAAAAAACTCATCTATTTGTTGTCTTCAGGAGACATATCTCATATGAACAAAGATTAGTGGAAATTATATCTCATTGATTTTGATGTTTTTGTTTTTAGTTTCATTTCTTCACAACAATTTTTTTCTTATTAAATTCTTTACTGACTTATGGATCATCGTTTTCTTCTAGAAGGTTCTTGATTTTCTTTTTCATTTCTTCAATGACACATTAGTCATTCATTAGCATGTTATTTAACTTCATGGTGTTTTCAATTTCTTCTTTTCTTTCTGTATTTTTGTATTGTGGCTTTTCATTTAAGGGGATGTATATTAACTGTGTAATGGAGACTATCATATCCAGATGTGAGGATGCAATGCAATATTCATCTCTACTTCCAAATAAAGATGGACTCCCATTATAACTGTTAACTATATTTTTGACAATAGGATGCTGGACTCTGCCATTGTACAAGCCCACAATGATGGACATACAACTGTTTATCAACAACTATAGTAATAATACAGGGGAACTCAGTGTTAGTGGCATATTTGGGGAGGTAGAAAGTGAAATCCAAGGGCCTATGGAATTGTATCATATAAAAATAATTATAATGTATAAAAATTAATAAAATTTTAAACAGAAATAGAATCTATAATATCACAAAACCCTGAGATGGGTTGTTATCCCCTTAAAGTTGAGAAACTGTGCTGTAGACCAACTAAGCTATAAAATCCTGACTTCTGATGAACAGATAAATTATTAACAAATTTCTCCTTAACATAATAGAATTGCCAAAGATTTATATCCAAATCAGCATCTCAAGAAATTCATCATCATATGATCATCTTAAAAGTTGCAGGTAAACATTTGATGAAATTCCAACTTCACGCTAAAAACCTTGATCATGTTAAGCATAAAATGAACATTCCACAACACAATGAAAGAAATATACATCAAACCCAATGCCAGCATCATACTGACCAGGGAAAAGCTGAAAGTTTCATTCTAAGATTCAAAGTCAGACAAGGATATCCATTCTCCCCACTGCTATTGAACACAGTACTGGAAGTCCTGGCCAGAGCTATCAGACAAGAAAAAAAAATTAAAGGAATACAAATTAGAATTGAGGAAATAAAATGATTTCTGTTTGCAGATGATATGATTTTACATAGAGGACAGTGAAAGACTCAACAAAGAGATTACCAGAATTCATAACATAGTTTGGCAATGTAGCAGGGTACAAAATCAATAAAAATGAATCAATAGCTTTAGTATACATAAACAACTTTATGGCTGAAAAAATCTTGTAAGATCAGTCCCATTCAAAATAGTGAAAAAGAATCTTAAATATCTTGAAATAAACCTGATGATGTGAAGTACCTCTACAAAGAAAACTTTAAAACATTAAAGAAAAAATAGAAGAGGACACTAAAAGATGAAGAAATCTGACATGCCTATGGTTATTAGACTCAACATCATCAAATGTCCATATTAATGAAAATAATCTACATATTCAGTGTAATCCTAATAAAAATCCCAACAACATTATTCTCAGAGCTACAAAGATGACACAAAAATTCCTATAGAACCACAGTGTCCCCAAATGGTCAGAATTATCTTGAACAATAAAAGCAAAGCAGGAGGAATCACAATATCAGGTTTTAAGATGAACTATGGGGTCGTGGTAATCAAAACAGTCTGGTACTGGTACAATAACAGGGAAGATCAATGGAACAAAATAGAAAATTCAAAAGTGAGCCTACACATCTACAACCAACTAACCTTTGACAAGAGAACTGAAAACAATCCAGGAGAAAGAATAGTCTCTAATAAATGCCGCTGGAAAAGTTGGATATCTGCTTGCAAAAGTAAGACACAATACCTCTACCTTTCATATCACACAAAAACCAACTCTAAATAGACCAAGGAAAGACACCAAAAGCACAGGCTGTTAAAGGCAAAATAAATGAATGGGACTACATCAAACTAAAAAGCTTCTGAACAGCAAGGGAAATGGTCAACAAAGTGATGAGACAACCAACAAAATGTGAGAAAATCTTCACACACTATACAACGGATAGGGGTCTAATACCCAAGGTCTACAAAGAGCTCCAGAATAGCAAAGGAAACAACCTTTTTTTTTTTTTTTTTTATAATTGGTTCATTTTTCTTGGAAAGCAGATTTACAGATAGAGGGAGATACAGAGAGAAAGCTCTTCTGTTTGCTGGTTCACTCCCCAAGTGGCTGCAACAGCTGGAGCTGAGCCAATCCTATGCCAGGAGCCAGGAGCTTCCGCTGGGTCTCCCACATGGGTGCAGGATCACAAGAACTTGGGCCATCCTTACTGCTTTACCAAGCAGGGAGCCAGAAGGGAAGTGGAGAAGCTGGGACAGAAACTGGCACCCATATGGGATCCTGGCACATGCAAGGTGAGGATTCAGGCACTGGGCCATTGTGCCAGGCCTAGCAAACAACCCTGTTAAGAAATGGGCAAAGAACATGAACAGGTATGTCTCAAAAGATAAAATTCAAAAGACTGTTAGCCACAAGAAAAAAATGCTCAGGTTCCTTAACTACTAGGGAAATGTAAATTAAACTACTTAATTCCAGTGTGAATGGTTTACCTATAGAAGTGTTTAACAACACCTGCTGGCGAGGATGTGTGGACAAAAGCACCCTACTCTACTGTTGGTGGGAGTGTGGAATAGCACAACCACTATGGAAGTCAATATGGAATATTCACTATGGAATGCTCAGACAACTAAGAATTGATCTACAATATGACCCAGGAATCCCACTCCCGGAAATATGTCCAAAAGAAATGAAATCTGCACATGAGAGAGTGACCTGCAATCCTATATTTATAGCAGCACAATACACATTAGCAAACATCTGGGAATAATCCAGATGCCTGTCAACAGATGAATGGATAAAGAAACTATGGTACATCTACTCTATGGAATACTACTTAGCCATAATAATAATAAAAAAAAAAGAGTGAGATCTAATTGTTTGTAACAAAATGGTCCCAATTGGAGACCATTTATGCTTATTGAAGTAAGCCAATCCCAAAGGATAAATATCAGATGTTCTCTTTGATATAACAGACATACACAAAGTATATATATGTATACCCACATATACATATATATGTAAATATATAAAAGGTAACTGCATTTAAAAGTAAACATATATACGTATATGTAAACATATAAATACACATATATGAAAATACACACATATATATGTTGTTTAAGAAACACTAGCTTACTGGGAAGTAAAGATACTATGCAGTATACATCTCTTCTTTCAAATAAAAGTAGGACTCCCAATGAAACTGATGAATACACCTCAACATTATGATACTAGATTTTCTACCTTTGCTTGTATTTATCATGCCATTGTACATTTAAATATCCAAAAGTTAAACTTGTAACTTGTATTAATGGATTATGCTACTGCAATAATGCAGGGGAAAATGGCAGGAGGGGAAAAAAGGGAGGGAGGAAGGGAAGGAGGGATAAATTCCTACACTTACAAAACTGTATCATGGAAAATAACCTAAAAATACAGAAAAATGGTTAAAATAGTAAATGGTATTATGTTCACATGGTATTTCTGTTACATGTTTTTTATCATAGTAGATTTTTGTTATAGAAAACACTGAACATAAAATAAAGCATTAACTAGATTTTATAAACATTAAAAATATTCATCCATAAAGATACTGAAAAGAAGGTACAATGAAAAATCACACGCTGAAAGAAACCACTCACAATACATATATCAAGAGTGGATGCTGTAATAATCTCTCCAGATTTTCCTTTCACAGCTACCAGAAATTTTGATTGCTAGAAGTTCAACATTTGAGTCTACCTCTAGACATTGCATTTGGCCAGAGGGAGCTATTGCCAAATGAAGTCCTTAGTCCTAAAGAATCTTGGAGATAGAAATGTGGAGGTCACTATTATCAACTAAATTTGTAATCCTATGAAATCTTTCAGAAACAGGCATTGAAAAAGTAGACAGTGTTTTGAGAAAGCTCAATGTTTAATGTTTGTTTGAATAGAGGGGAGAGAAGTTAAGTGGGAATATATGCAGAAAAATGCAGATTCAGAGAGCTAAGAGGGTAACTAGAATTATCTAGAAATATGAAAGTCCAGGTAAGTA